AATATATGTTATATATTATTATGTTTGTGTGTGTATGTGATTATGAGGGGTGCGGTGGGGTAGGCTAGGGGAATCAAATACATACATGCCTGGCTGCCTGTCTGTCGAGCAGTGTTATATAATTATATTGCAGCACTTGCATGTGTTCTAAAAATAGCCACTGCCGACAAGGACGAGCGAAAGTATAGAAACATGTCTGGGCACGACAAAACTCGAAACCTTAATAAAACAGCTGCTATCAAATGATACACAGGCTAAAGATGGGTTGTTGTTTTTTCAAAAAGAATTCGCAACCTAGGAATGTTGACGGCAACGCCCATGTAGATCTACGTAAACATATTGAAACCGTTTAATAATAGCGACATTTCTGTTTAATTTACCGTAACCGCTGGATGCGCGAGATGGCTGTTTATGATAGTTTTTGTTTTGCTTTGTTTGTTTGTTTGTTGTTTTGTTTGGGGGGGTTGTTGTTGTTGTTGTTGTTGTTGTTGTTGTTGTTGTTGTTGTTGTAGTTTTGCTTTTTTTGGTGTTGTGTTTGTTTTTGTTGTTTTGTTTTGTTTTGTTTGTTTTGGTTTGGTTTTGTTTGTTTTGTTGTTTTGTTTGTTTGTTTGTTTGTTGTTGGGTTGTTTTGTTTGGAGGTTGTTGTTTTTTGTTTTTTTTGTGGGGTGGGGGTTGGGGGGAGGGGTAAGAATCCAGGCGGCATGTCATAAAGTCATAAATGAATACAAAATTTCACTTTGCCACCATTGAAAAGGGCAAAGATTGAGGAGCTTTCTTTGAAGTTTACAACAGGTTTGACTTGCGACCTGATTTATAGACCACGTAATAATCTTAATGTCTTATAATAACAACGTGATCAGGGCATTCTAGAAACATTATTATTTCTTGTAATTACGATGTATTTCTTTTTCTGCTTGTAAAACCTCGGGGCACATCGGTGTTCGGTTTTTTGGGTCACAAAATACAAAGAACCATCATACGTCGACTCAAGCAACAACACAGTATTGGAGAAAAAGACACTTATGAAAGACATTGAAACATTCAGGAAATGAAACATTCATCAACAGTTTAAACTCTCAAAAGTTCTGATCGAGCTTTTAAAACAATATTTTAAAGTACAGAAAAAGGTACATATTAACTGAAAGAGGGGGTAAGAAAAATACAGGGTCAAAGTCACCTTGGGGTTGTTGTTTTTTGTCTTTTTTGAGAAAAAAGAAAATGATTCTAAAAAGCAAAAGCAGGATAATAAATTTTACTAAGAATAGAGTCCGTACAAGCCATTTTGTAAGGGCTATAACTCGTATTTCAAGCTATCCAGACATTTCATTCAAAGCTATGTTGTGTTCTTTCCCCTGATGAGTGTCGTCGTACAATGAGCTAGCAAAAGAAAATACGACAATAGTAATAGAAACAAGATAACAATAATGTAACATCAGTGATGTAAGTAAAAACACTAATAAGAACACCCCATAACACTAATAATAACACTAATAATAACACTGATAATAACCACTAATAATAACACTGATAATGAAATTAATAATGATAATGATGATAAT